GCTTTACACAATTGATGTGTGTATGGATTGCGATGACAGTTGTATGAGCCTCTAATAAAATGTTAAAAAAAAAAAAAAAGAAAGAAATCCTCTCTTGTGGGACCCTTGGAGTCCCTGGGGAGTATAAACAGTCCAACACTTGGCCCGTAACCAAAAGGTTAGGGGTTCAAGCCCCACCCCCGCCCTACCCCCGAGCGCCTTAGAAGAAAGCCCTAGTGGTCTACTTCGGAAAGGCCACAGCCGCGAAAATGACATGGGTGGCGCAGTTCTACTCAGACCCGAGTGGCCGAGTGGCCATGGGGGGACAGGTCAGAGCAGCTGGTCAGTGTGCGGCTGATGCTCAGGTAGGAGTGGGGCCTCGCCTTCCCACCACAGAGAGGCGTTTCTGGGGCTGCAATCTCCCAAGATGAGGAGCACCCCTCCTTGAAAATCAGGCCTTCCCAGGACCTCTCCCACTGTGAAGCCTTGTGGGCAGGGGAAGCCCTCGCATGGGGGGAGAGTTCTGGGACATCCAGGACGGGCTGTGCGGGCCTCCCAGGAGCGGGATCCTCGGGCTGGCAAATGCCGCTGTCGTTCCATGTGTCTGGAGCCAGGCTGAAGCCTCCTGGGGTAATTTTAACCAGAACCATCCCAAAAAAGGTAAGTAACTCACCACCCCAGACAGACACATACCTAACCATTGGCCTTTCATGAATTAGCCCCTTAAAACACTCAGAGCCAAAGCTGCTTTAAGCGCTGAACTGAGAGCTGCACGGTAACGCATTCTTGTACTGAGATGTTGGCCCTGATATTGAAATGAACTCTAGGGTGTTAGCTATTCTTACCCCTCAGCAAACAGCCTGGGCCCTCAGCTGTCTTGGCAACGAAGGTATTCTGAGACCCGGAGCAGCTGGTTAGGGTTTGCTGCAGTAGCTGGCAAGTTCAGGAGAGGATTGAATTTCAAGAAGCTAATGGAGATGGGGGAGGACGGGGGTGAGTAAAAGTCTTATCTTCAGGGGTCATGATCTGTCCGCATTGCCAATTATATATATAATTTTATTGGGGGGGGGGAGTCTAATAACCATACATCAATTGTATCAAGCATTTGACTTACTCTCATTAGCATTAGCGTCTTCCTCTGTGTCGGTTTATACCACCCAAACTACAAGAACATAGCTGAACTCAAATTCTCAAAGCATAGGCTCATAAACTCAAATTAAAGGAAGTCGAAGCCAACACAGGACTTCCACCAGCCTACATCATTGCTGGAGTACCGCTGAGAGCTGGCACGCCCTCCTTGTCTAGATGGTGTGAAATCTCCTCCCCTGGGACCCTGTACCCAGGGTTTGCCTCGGGAGCCAAGGAGCAAAGCCAAGTTCTTGCTTTACAATAGACAGCCTTTACTTCTCATTGGTCTTGATCGGCAGGGGCGTTGTGAGAACAGTCTCCTGCCCCCCCCCCCGGGGGGCG